TGAATGTTCAATAGATTTGTAAACACTTGAATGCATTCACTCATAACTCATGCTCAAATGCTATGCACGCATTATAATTCATCCATATCCATATCCATATTCATATCCTTAACGACAACTTCCTCTTCAGCTCTAATACGACATGTGATTGTCATGACTTTATAGCCAATTCGCACTCACACCACACACACACGAACACACGAGCACACGCACACACTCAGTCATGCACAACACGTGTCTATTCATATGAATGTGAGTGCGCACTCGAGAATGCTTTTTACAAGTTATTTTATGCAAGCCATAAATATGCACTTTACACTTTGCACATTTCTTTTTCTTTGCCTCACTCTCTCTGTCTCTGTCTCGCTCTCTCTCTCTCTCTCCTTGTCTCTTTCTCTGTTAGCCTTTTTAATGTGTGCGCACAAGCAAAAAACAAACAGCCATCCAGCTAGCCAGAGGATACAGATCGAGTATCTCTTAGGAAGACAGACTGAAAGAGTGAAAGAGAGAGAGGGTGAAGGGAGAGAGCAACATGTCCCGTAGTGTCTGCCTGCATACAAATTATGTACAAACATGTTTTTCAGAAATGTTCAATTCATTATCGCTAACAAATGCCGATCATGTTTGTGTTCAACACACACACACACTCGCACACACACAATAAACAGTTCAAAGCACTTTTAGCAGCTCAAAAATTATTGCCAGACTGCAGAAAATCTAAAACGTCTGGCAACTGCATTTGAAATTGGGTCTGGACAGACTTCATGAAGTGGGGGCCGGGTTGGGGGAGCAACTGCTGCCGGGCTCAACTCGGTAGCTGTTTGCCATACCAGCACTTCGATGCTCAAATCACTGCAGCTCCGACAGTAATTGCTGTACAGCTAAGTGATATGCCATGTAGCAGCTGCAGTAACAGCAGCAGCAGCAGCAGCAGCAGCAACAGAATCTGAATCTGAATTCAAATCCGAATCGGAATCTGTATTTGAGCGTTCAGGCCTAATCAGTTTGAACAGGGGCAACAAACAAAGGGCAGCTAGCCCCTAGTTTCTCCTCCCTCTCTTGCTTAATACACAATTTCCGCTTACAATTTAGTGGCACTCGAAGCGAACAGCGTAAAGCGTAGCAAACCTGATGAGAGTTGCGACCCTTTCCCTATATACACACATATATGCTTATATTTGTATGTGACCCCTTCCCCATATACCCTATATTGCCCTTTCTATGTCTGCCTGTCGCTGCGTCTGCGCACAAAAAGCCGAATTAAATTACAGAACGTGCTTCGTTCATTCAAAAAAAAGAAAAAAAGAAAAAAAGAAGAGAGAAGAAGCAGAAGGAAGCTGAAAGAACAATCGAATAAAAATAAATAAAAGCAAGTAAAAGTGTTTGTTGCATGAAGTATGCCAAGCTGCCAGATACCTCGCAAAGTTCTATTCCAAACTTTAAAACTTTCAATTTTCCTTATTCAAATTCTATCAACAATATTTCTTTTAATACATATTTTATTACAAATTGCAATATTATATTTTTAATATAGTTTTATTATTGCAGTTTCCAGTCTTTCTAAGCTTCTTGCGGTTTTTAAATGTCTTATTTGCAATCAGAACTGAGAACTTCTCTTCAATTCTATTATGCAATTTTTCTCTTCATTGCCTTTATTCTCTCTATTTTACTAGACTTTTCTTTTCTTTTAAAATTTCGTGTTCTCATTTTATCTAGTCTCTCGATCTTTGCTTAAGTTATTCATCATTTATCAAGTTTAGTTTCTTATCTTGCATCTTCACTTCGCTTCTCTCAGTTTAGAATTCCTCATATTTACCTAAATGTTTTGCCCCTCTCTAAACCTCTCCCCACTTTTATCTTTACTCCCAGCTCCGACTTTATTTCCATTTCTCACACATCTGTTCTTTCATTCCTAAGCTGCGAGATATCCTGTAAAATATTTTAAGCTGTTTTCTGTCTGCCTAAAGTGCGCTAAGTTGACAGCATATCAAAATATTTTTCCCACTCAATCTCCACTTTTAATCTTTGAATTTTCTCATTTTCTTTTCAATTGATTTTCTTTGTGTTGATGGCTCCGACAGCTACTTTACATATTTCTATTTTTGCTGACATGAAAGGCAATTTTAAGATTTATTTTAAAAAATTTAGAATTTTAAAATAAATAATAAAAAGAGAAATTTATTTAAATATATAAATTTAAATTGAAAGAAATAATAGTAATAATAATGCCACTCGTAATTGATTTGAGATCTAAATAAAATTAAATATTAATTTATTTATATTTTTTTATTCGCTAAATATTTTGCTCAAAAAGAAATACTAACTTTTCTCACATAAAAAACCAAAAAGAAAATTTAAATAAATTGCAATAAATAAACAAATTATTAATTTTGCTACACTTTCTATATTATACTATATTTTATATAATAGTATAGAAATAGTGATTTTTTAAACAACAAAAAGCTCAACTTTTATCTTCTAAATAAAACATAACAAAATTTCCAAAAATTTAAAATAAAAATATCTAAATAAAAATTAAAGTCTTAAAGAATTATTGTAATTTATTATTAACATCGTTGCTAAGCAACAACTAAATTTTGCAAGTGCTAAATAACTAATTTGTTTCTCAATAATGCAACATTTTTATTATTTTTTAACTCCGCTAAAGCACTTCTTTTTATAGGGTATAAGAACACATCGAACTCCACTTCAGTCACACGCAGCTAAGATTCTTTGCAGAGAATGTTTAAAGTTTCATTATTAAACACACGCACACACACACTCACACACACATACATACATAGAGAAGAGAACGCACAGCTTGAGAAATTAAAAGGCAATTAACATGCAACAAGGCAGCTGCAACTGTGAAGTTGCAAGTAGCAGGGGGCTAGGGGCGGGCATGAGGCCAGAGGGCGCCCTCTGCTGCTGTGGCTGCTGTTGCTGCCACGCCGTGGGCTCAACAGCTTTTTACGGCTTCTCTACGAAAATCAGCTGCAAATGTGCGTAGTAATTTTTCGCTGATTGATTCGAATAATAAAAAAGAACGTTTGCCAGAGCCAAAGCTGTTGCAGCTTGTATGTAGGTCACTTCAAAGAGAGAGACAGAGAGGGAGACAGAGGGCGATAGACACCCACAGCTGAATGTGTGCGTGCCACACTGCGTATGCGTAACGCAAATTAACATAAATTACAGTTTAGACACAGCAGCAACAATTGCAACAGCAACAGCAACAACTTGTTGATAAGCCACGCACACACAGTCACAGTTTGTCAAGAACACATTTCGATTGTAAATTTTAATATTTTCAATTTTATTTTATTTTTTTTGTCCAGTTCTCAAGTCTGTTGTCGAAAGGCAGCCCACACTTTGTCTTTGGCTGTGTCATTGAGTCGCCAAATCCAAAAGCCTCTTATCGTCTGAAGGTTCTTAGAGTCTTAGAAAACAGCCAAGCGTAGGTCGAAGGACGCATTTCCGTGCTTTTTTCATTTTTTGTGTAAAGACACAAAGCAAAACACATTCCCAACTATAGTGCTAATTGCCCGAAAGTTCAGGGACGGCGGTCAGACAACCGTTAGCCAGAGGTAAAAATAAAAGACAAATAACTATAAAGTTTCATTTGATTTGAGCTTTGACTCTGTGTAAATTACCTCAAACTGTATAAAAATATAAAAACTTTAATTAAGTTGATTTTATGGGCACTTTTATGGCAACTTTTCTTGAGGTTTATTTTTTATATAAAATATTTCTCTGAATAATCACACTTTAAGGCACTTCACTTCACTGAGATTAATTTATGAATATTTTATTATTTTATTTATTTTTGTTGTTGTTATTCCTGTTGCACATTTCTTGTTGGCTCACAAAAAAAACATACGAAATACGAAATGCATTGCACGTTTCGTCTTCGTTGCTTGATTTGCTTCTTGTTGATGTTGTTATTATTATTTTTTGTGCTGCTGTTCGGTTTTCAACCGCTCACAAGACTGCGCGCCGCGAATTCAAATCTCAAACTGACAACACACGAAGCCGAACAGCAATGCGACTTATTTCGACCAATTCATGCAATTCGACCTATTCGCTCGCTGGCACGAAGTTGTGGGCTTTTCAATTGGTAAAGCGCATGCATGTTATGCTCAATTTGGTACTGCTATGCTCGCTTTGGCACTGCTAAGCGTGTGAAGTTGAGTGCAGCTCGCTTGCTTATTTTTAGACCTAAATTAACAGCGGCCAGGGCTGCGCTAACAGTGCTTTGATTCAGGAATCTTTTGATAGAATTTAGAAATATATTTCGAGATATGAATGGCATTTAGGCAAAAAAAATTAATAAAAATTATGTAAAATATGCGTAATATTGGGGATATAACTGTTATAGGGAGATTTTTCTTATGGTATACCATTTGTTGGCAGTAAAGTGATTAATGAAATTAGATTTTTCAAGTTTTTCGAAATTACTATTAAAAAATTTCAAGTATATTATTAAATTCTGAATTATTTGCGGTTTCTCAATATGGTTTTTTACCTCCCACTTTATAAATAGCAAATTTTTAATGAGTTCTTTGGAGGCTATGTGTTTTCCTGTTTGCTCCATAAATTATTTATCTTACGATCCAACTTTTTTTTAGGTCATCTGCTAGCTTTATGGCACATATAGATCCGTCTGTAAGTGGCCATAAAGAATGCGCTATTGTTCGATTAAATATGCATGCGCACAAACTATGCCCATTCCTCGATGCCCAATTCCACCCATTCCGAAACCCCCTTCCATTGGCAGTGCTATTTTCATTTCCATAGCTGGCGATCGTTAAATTGCTCAAGCGCTAATTTGCGAGCCTGCGAGAAATACAAAAGGAACAGAGATAGACAGAGGGGGAGCGACAGGGAGAGAGAAAGGGAGAAAGAACTCACTAAATGATAGATCTGTGTGCTGCGATCTCTTCTTCAGGGTTCTCTGGGGTTGGGGCAATTGTAGGGCATCTGGCTGCGTTGGGGGCACTTACCTCGCCAATTTGATGAGTGGCGCGCAGCGTTGCGGCAATTTGCGCAAATTTGCATAGGTAACGCTGCTCGAAACGCGGCAGGCTGCCATCGTATTGCAGTGCGACCAGCTCACGTGCCTGCCGCACTAAAATCGCACGCGTGCGTGCCCAGTAGACGGGATAAATGTGCGACAGATGCCTGTCAATCAGCTCAGCCAGCTGGACCCCATCCACATCCATGTGGCTTTGATTTGTGGCAGCAGTCGTTCCCTGCACACAAATCACAAATGAACAAATTAAGGGCTTAAGTTAGTTGTTGATCTGGCAATAGTTGTTGCTCATGCATATAGAGTTACCTCTTGCTGTTGTTCCTTTGGCAGTTCCTTCTCCTGCTCCAGCTCCTGCTCCCTTGGCTCTTCATCAGTTTCGGATTCGCTGCTGCTGCTCATCTCCTGCGGCGCTGTTGGCGCTCGTCCCATGTTGAAATCAAGCGGCAAGCAGTCCGCATAGGCGCTGGCCGAATCTCTGCTGCCACAGCTGGAGTCCTCTTCCTCCTCCTCCGCCTTAGACTCCTCCGGCTGTTGCCTCATACATTCTGCCTGAACTATTGTGGGTGCTGTTCCTTCGTTCTTGATCAATGTAATCGTTGCTGTTGTCGTGGTTGCTGTGGCTGCAGATTTTGCTCTTGTTGCAGTTGCTGTTGCTGTTGCCGTTGCCGTTGTTGCTGCTGCTGTGGCGACAATTGTTGCTGTTGTGGCTACAGCTGTTGCTGCTGTAGCTGCAACTGTTGCTGTTGTCGCAGCTGCTGCTGCTGTGGCTGTTGCTACATCCGTTGCTGTTGCTCCTGATGTTGTTGCTGCTGTTGCTGTTGTTGCCGTTGTCGTTGCTGGTCTGCTCTGTTGACCCGTTAGGCGTTGCTTGCATTTCTTTAGATAGCTGCGTACACGCGACTTGCTGCGGCTCGCAGTTGCTGCTGTTGTTGTTGTTGCTGCTGCTGCAGTTGTTGTTGCTCGTGTTGTTGCTGGGCATTGACAGCACACATAATTAGCATTCGCTTTGGCCAGCTCCTCCTCCTGCTGCAGTTCCAACTCCTCTTCATCGTTCTCCTCCTCCTCCTCCTGCTCCTTCTCTGGCTCGAACTCCTCAACAAACTCGTCGCGCGCTATTGGCGCTGTGTGGCCCGCTCTGGCCTCGTTCATGTCGTTGTTGGCTGTGTCCGTGTTCATGTTGTCCATGTCGATGGCAACTGCTGGCGGCGCCGACATCGCGGCCTGGCCATCGATTTGAGTGTCACTCAGCACCAAGATCTCGCTTAAATGGCCCTGATCCACAAATTCAGCTCCTGGGTCGTTGTTTGTTGCAGTTGTTGTTGTTGTTGCTGTTGCAGTTGTTGATGTTGCTGCTGCTGCCTTGTTTGTGTCAGTCTGCATTGCGGCGAAGAGACAGAAACAGAAACTTAGACACGTGTGAAGTTCGAAACATTTAAAAGGTAAATGGGCTTTAAGGTTAAAATGTGTCTCAGTTCATATATCGTGTACGTGATATGAATTTTGGTATAAAACCTTTACCTTTGTTAGGTATAAATATGCTAGGAAGAAAGCTCTATAAGTATTCTCAAGTATTCTCATGTCTATTTTGATTAAGGGATTGAAAGAGTTCGAGTTCTAAGTGGAGAAACTGAGCCAGGTAGAGAGTGGACTAAAGAAAGAGCGCGAGAGAGAGAGAGAGAGAGAAAGGAAGAGAGGGAGATAGATAGAGAGACAGAGAGAGATAAATGAAGAGAGATAGAGATAGAAAGAGAGACAGCAAGAGGGATAGATGAAGAGGCAGAGAAAGGCAATGAGAGGAGGTCGGAAGGGAAGTAAAGAGAGAAAGAGAAAAATAATTAAGTTAAAGAAAAAGAGAGAGATAGAGGAAGGGGTAGGAGAGAGCATGAGTGAGCAAATTAATTAAAGAGAGAAAGAGAGAGAGAGAGAAAAAGGTAATAGCAAGAGAGCACAAAACCTGAGAGAAAAAACAATAGATATAAATACAGAGCTATCTCTAAAGAAATGAGAGGCAGAGCAAGTAATAAATGGACTCTAGTGAGGTAAAGGGATCGACCAAAGAGAGGGAAGCTTATATATAGAAAACTATGAAGAAGGCCGCAAGCTTCAATGATATCTCCGATTTCTGTATGTTTCTTTGGTATGGTCTAGTCTAGATTATCAAAGCTATGTCAGTAATGACTAAAACGAAACGAGCCTTAAACATGTTAAGCTTATGATAAGGAAACACTTGAATTTACTATAAAAGTGACTCAAAGAATAACTCACTAACTATATATTCAAGATAAGATATTTATAAATTTAAATATATAAATTTAAATAATAAATATTTAATTATTTATTGTTTTCTTGTGCACTATAAATTTCCGTATTGTGGGCGAGTCAACATGTAGACAAAAATAAAATGGGGTGCGCTACCAATTGGGGGCAGAAAAACACAAGTAAAACAACAAAAAGAGCTGTAGGCGGGAGTGCCCGACTAGCAGTTACCCTGGCCTTTCTTTCTATGCTGCTCTCATATACACACAAAGCAAACAACACTTGCTTTATGTTGCCTGCCACGCCTCCTTTTGCCTGTTACATACATATTCACAAAACCAATATACCCTGAACTCCCATTTTCCATGCGCTTAGGGTATAAAATAAGTTCTTAAGCGCATACACACACACACAGGTGGAGGTTGCCTGGGCTACCGTTTGACCGGGCGCATGTTAAAAGTTAAACAAAAAATCAATTGGGGACAACATTGATCCGATTTCACATAGCCACAGACAACGGCAGACAGCGCGAGAGGGCGTGGCAGGGCGTTAGGGGAGGGCCAGCAGAAAACAAATGCGACTGCAGTTGCAGTAGCAGTAGCTTTAACTGTGTGGCAGCTGCAGCTCGCATTTGCATTGCATGACAATCAAATGACTTTGGCAGAGCTCAAAACGTCAAATGTTTTGCTTTTGCTGCTGGTTGTTGTCTGCTAGTTGTTGTTGTCATAGGTCAAGTGTAGCACAGTAGAATTCACTTTCTTTTGCACACACACACACACACACACACACACAGATTGGGAAATTTTGCAGTGAAAGTGGCTGGCCGCCTCCTTTTTGACCATAACACACAATGCCCACTGGCCACAGTTTTTGGCTTTTTTTTGGTCTATTGCGAGTCAAGAGACAACAGAAAATACTTAAAATTGTTCAGCCTGACAATGTGACACTTTTGCGCCATATAAGCAGCGCTTTATATACAGCTAACACCCACAACAAACAGAGGAGAGAGACAGACCTGACGAGCGAGCGAGACAGAGCAGCTGCAGCACGCGCTTTGCTTTAGCCACTAAACAGAGTTGAAGTCCTGTGCTGAGTCCTAGCCAAAAATGTTGTGTTTCGCCAGACTGGCCGCCAGATGTCGCCAGCGGCACAGGCACAAGCGCATGCGCATGCGCCACAATAAATTTCAGGCAGCGGCTGCTTTTGAAGTGAATACACATAAATAAATACCAATAAATATATCACGAAAAATATCACAAAAATATTTCCATTTGTGCCACTTGCAAGATGCCCCATTGCCATGGCCAACAGCGGCAGTGGCAGCGACAGCGGCGGCTGGGTCCAATTTACAGCCGGACGCAGCTCATCAATTAATTACCCAGGTCTGCTGGCCCGAAGGCGTGCGTGCATGCGTGTCTGGCTCTTGGATTTCCTCTCGTCTCTCTGGGCAGTGGGTCGAGCTGACCAGCGACAACAGCAAATTACGAGCGGCAGAGTGAATCGAAAAGCTGCTCAAGACATTTAAAGGAAGGTCGCTTCAGTGCATTTGCAGACCAGTTAGCTAACCTTGGGGCAATTGGAATTCGATTTGAATTGAACCAACAACAACCACAACAACAACAAACAATCTATAAGATATATAGCACATTTGCTTCTCACGCGTGTACAGTTACGCGCGCGCTGACCCACATCCCAAATCAAATTAAAAGAGGAAAAACATATCTTCCAATTGGATTCGAGTTGGAAATTAATTTTTATGCGTCGCTTGTCACATTTGTGTTAATCAAAACATTATGACTGCGTTTTCTTTTTATTAATTGGACAAGCTGGCCAGCTGGCTAGCTGACCCAGCATAATCCCCACACACACCTGCCTACAAATTAAATTTATTGCGTGTGATTTTGATAGTGGACAAAAGACAAGCAAAAGACAAAAAAAAAAAAACACGAAAACCGAAAAAAATAAATTGCGTCAGCAAACTAATTTGTTAGCAACGGCAGTTAACGGGGCGCCACGGTTCGCGCGTTGGCGTTGCAAATTGCAATTGCCCATTTATACGAAAGCTTGGCGACAATGTGCGCGAGTGCGTGGGTGGCCACTGCATCTGCTCCCGCTTCCAAATTAAGTGACAGCCGCAGACGCAGCCTCAGCCACAGCCACAGCCACAGCCACAACCAAAGCCAACGCCACAGCTAAAGCTGGAAAAGAAATTGAAAATTACTTGACTTCGACTCTGACGGGCCGTTAATGGCTCCAGCCTAACCTCTGCATTGAACCCCCAACCAAACAAGCCAAAACGAAAGAGAAATGAATTTCGCTCGAGACCTGAAGCTGCGCTGGCGATGTGAGAAAAGTCATTTGCATGTTAAACAGTTGCATATAAAATGCATACATATATGTATGTGTGTGTGTGTGTGTGTGTGTGAGTGGTTAAAATTGATATGAAAATGCTCGTAATATTGGATGACAAGTGACAAGGCGTTAATGTATGCAATATATACCCTGTAATTAAGCGAGGCTAACGATTACATGATGTGCATATTAAGTGATTATTAGCAGATGCTGGGCATCATTTAAATCAGTTCGTTGGAAGCAGAGAGGCGGGCAGTGAGTCATGAGTGCAATGGAACTAAACGATGATGCTTCGGAATGGCAGTAGCAATGATGATGAGAATGAAAATGATTACGATGAGAGCTAATTATAAATGTAAAAGTTTTAGCTAAAAATAAGAGAGATAAAGTTTATGCTAATGATAATGTTATTGCTAATGCAAATACTAATGCTAATGCTAATGCTAATGCTAATGATAATGCCAGTGCTAATGATAATGCTAATGCTGATGCTAATGATAATACTGATGCTAATATTAATACTAATGCTAATGCTAATGCTAATGCTAATGCTAATGCTAATTCTCATGCTAATGCTAATGCTAATGCTAATGCTAATGCTAATGCTAATGCTAATGATAATGCCAGTGCCAATGATAATGCTAATGTTGATGCTAATGATAATACTGATGCTAATGTTAATACTAATGCTAATGACAATGCTAATGCTAATGCTAATGCTAATGCTAATGCTAATGCTAATGCTAATGCTAATGCTAATGCTAATGCTAATGCTAATGCTAATGCTAATGCTAATGCTAATGCTAATGCTAATGCTAATGCTCATGCTAATGCTAATGCTAATGCTAATGCTAATGCTAATGCTAATGCTAATGCTAATACTAATACTAATGCTAATGCTAATGCTAATGCTAATGCTAATGACAATGCCAATGCTAATGCTAATGCTAATGCTAATGCTAATAATGATAACAATTAAGTAAAAAGTAAAATTCATACCCGTTACAATCTTATTGATAATGTTAATAGCAATGATGACAATGATATATCATTAGTTATGCTGTGGGTTATGATGTGAGATGAATCCTAACACTAATGAGAATAATGGTCAATTTTAATGCTATATTTACTAAATATTTCATTGCCCTGTACATATATATATATACTTTGCTGCACAGCAACATAGGCTCCCTCTGTTCATATTTATCCAACAATGCTATTTGTCTTTCAGTTGGCCAATGTAAAACTAAGTCCTTAACGCTGACTAGTGCCGCAACTAACAGTACTTAGAGATCTAACTGCTATCAATAGTTAATTTTGTCCGACTTTCGCGCTAAGCCCATCTCACGTTTCGCTTACAGTTATGTGATACAATATAGTTATGGTATTTGTGATATAACATAATACTCGCTATGATCTGCAGAGAGCTGTTCTCTGATTTCCTCAATTACCTTGATGCCGTGTCGCTTATCAGCGGCGCCTTTTCCTGCTTTCTGCCCTATCGCACAGTCCGACCAAAGCTCGACGTATTTCTTTCATATTGCAATTGGGCATGCACAAATCTTATTTTTTGTTTGTTCGTATTCAAGTCGAATGCGTTTGCATTTTTCATGAGTTTTCCCACGTTGTGCGTGCGGCAGAAAAAAAAAAAAACAAAAAATCAAAAGAAAAATAAAGGAAAATATGGAAAACTTAAACAGTTTTCATGTCGCTGTCGCTCTTTTCCTCAGTTAACAGCTACGAATGCGATTTGAAAGCCGCTCAAC